TATATATATATATATATATATATATATATATATATATATATAGTAGTGTGTTCTCTCAATGCTGGTGTTAAGGAGTTTTCTTAAACTTGGCAAAATATGTGACCTCCCTGATCAAGACTTTTCCTATTGCACTTTAAAAATTCATTAGCATTAACATCCAGTGTCTTAACTTATATCAGCAGAATGCTGCAATATCTCCTTTAGAAACATTCCTCTACAGTTTTCTCAAAGTCACCAGAGCCACATTATGCACTGCAGCAGAGGCTGCTCTGCAGCTTTGGTTTATAGGGAGCACGGCGCGTGCGTGGAGGATGGTGACGATGACGCCACGAGCAGGAGCAGATCAGAGGAGCAGCAGACAGCAGCAGCAGCAGCAGCAGCAGCGCCATCACAGGGAGCTCCGTGCAGGTTGAAGGCCGACTCTCCTCTCCTCTCCTCTCCAGGCTCCCCTCAGATGCTCCGGCTCGCTGACAGCATGTCCGGCTTCTTCCCCGCCCTGCTCTCGGTTCTTCTCACCGGGCTCGCGGCCGCTGCGTCTTCTGATCTGTTTGACAATCAGCTGGGTGACATCAATTATTGCAAAAAGCAATGCCAGCTCACCATCAAAAACAAAAGCCCCGCTAAAGTAAGTTATTCCTGTGTGTTCGGCTGACTCTGCAGGGAAAATCACAGCACTTGTTATTGTGACCTATATTTCAACAGCGACAGAACCACCTTTTATAATGAGCTATATATCTTAGCGTAACATGCATGTCTTATTTGGAAATGAGGAAGATAAAAAAATTTCTTCGCGTATGTAGATCCAGGCTTGGCTTATTTCTTTGCATCTTCTTGGATGCTTTGTAAGGCGCGCATATAGGCCGAAAAGATGCAGCCTGTCTGCTCCCAAAGGCATGTCCAAGACGTGGACTGCATTCAGGCTCATCGAGTGATTTAACCTCCTCAGCACTGCACCACTGACCGACTGGGATCAGGTGTCACACCATTAAGTCATCTCAGGGTAGATCTGAGCTCCACAGAAGGAACCAACCCCGAGCAGACTGTTAGATGAAGGTGTACATTGGTGAGTTAATGCGGTTATGCAGCATCGGATGCTTTCATCCCCTCTCTCCTCCCTCTGCTCATCAGCTGCCTTCAGGTGTTCAGACATCCTGCAAGGCTGCAAGGAGCACACCTGCAAAACACATTTAGTGCAACGCCACAGAGCTGTGAGTGTAAATGACTAAATTGGATTAATGCAAATTGATTTCATTCATCCTGTGGAGGGAAAAAAGCATTAGAACAAAAGGTAACATGTGCATGTTAAAAAACCAACATAGTTCGTATCTTATCTAATAATAATAATAATAATAATAATAATAATAATAATAATATAATACTTTGGACTTGTAGTGCACTTTGTATTTAAACAAATCCCAAATTGCTACATAGTAAAACAGGTAAAACAGGTGTATATATATATATATATATATATATATATATATATATATATATATATATAAATAAAATATATATATATATAAATGTAGAGCATGAGAAATAAAAAATAAAGAAAATATAAAAAAAGGGGGAAGAGTTCAATTTAAAGCTCTCCTAAAAGGGTGGGTTTTAAGGCCATGTTTGCAAAAAAAAAAAAAAAAACATCCAGAAAAGAAACCCTGAGTAAACACGCTGAGAGGGGGAAAAAAAACTGCAGCAAAGGTCTTTGTCTCTCCTGTGCTGACACTGGACACTAGAGGATGCTGTTTCTCCCTTTAGCAGAGAACATCTACAGAACATCGCATTAAACTCTTCACAAGTGTAAAACTGCTTGCTCATTACCACTGGTTTTCACTGACAGAGTCAGGAAGTCTGTCATAAACTGCAGAGGACAGGCCATAATACGACAGCCGCGCTGTGTCATTAGCAGATGCCGTGGTTCATCCGTGTCACATCGCCAAACAAACTTTCTCCCACACTACCAGGGGATGTTTCTAATTTTGCATCCGTCTCTGTCTCTCTGGTAGGACTCCATAATGAACGCCTGTCACCGCGGCTGCCGCCTCTACTCCATCTGCCAGTTCGTCAATGGGGACGCCGGGTTTAATACCAGCAAGGAGGAGTGTCAGGGAGGTGAGTCAGTGTGGCGCTCTGTGCCAAGGAATGTTTGTGCTTTTGAGTTTGGCTTTTACAAGCATAATTTCTTGCAGAATTTGCATAAAGAATGCAGACTGATATCTATGTAACTGGTTCAGTAGATGTATTGATATTACTGTATCTTGCAGCTTGTCCAAAACCCATAACTGTTGATCTCCATGCTTTTCTTCACTGATTCTTTGTTCTTTACCCTTTTTTTATTTTTTGCTTTATCCTGCCAATAGTCAAAAGTGTCCTGTTTTTCATGCAGCTTGCCAGGAGGCATACATCAAGCTGCTGGAGCAAGAGGCCTGCAGCACCGGCTGTGCCAGCCAACCCTCTGAACCTGAGATCATGAGGAGGAAGGTGAGAAAAGCTGCTCTGCACCCAATACATTTACACTCCTATACCTATGTGCACCTCATGCTGCTTTCAAAGTCAGTATGAGTCTTTTGGCATGTCTGAGAATCACCATCGCATGCACAGAAAAACAGCGGAGGTCAGCCAGTCTGTTTGACCTGTTCTTGTTTCATTTGCAGTTGAGGGCCATGACTTTGCGCCCCAAGCCCCCCTCTGTGATGGAGGCTGTGTCCAGCTGGTGCAATGATATTGTCAGCTCGGCCCAGAGCTTTATTTCCTCCACCTGGACCTTCTACCTGCAAGCTGACGATGGGAAGGTTGTGGTTTTCCAGGTAAGATACCCAGCAGGGTTATTTAATTATATACATGTGTTTAAAAAGTTCAATCTAAAGGGAAAACCTTTAAAGCAATGTCAAAATATATCTGCCAGTTGTCTCTTTTGTACAGCATTATGACCAGTATTAGGCAAGTGACATACAAAATGTAAAATATTAAATTTTCCAAGTTACCTTTGTTAGAAAGTACTATATTTCTTTACTATATTGCAATCTGTGTAAATTACTGATTTTTTTATTCCCTTTGCACGCCTTTAGTAAAAAATAAAGGCTGCATAAATGTTTCAGTTAATTATGACAAATCACTGCACGCCTTTATTACAAAGGTAATTTGTCATAATTAGCAGAAACACAAAAATGTAATGATGTGAAATAATTTAACAACAAAAACCTTCACATTGAATGACACAAGCTCGCTTTCTTTTCCTCATTAATTAGCTGCTGAGTTAAGTTTGGCTGCACAATGTTTACCAAAAAAGTTTCCTTCAACTGAAACGTTGAAACGTATAGCCACATTGAAAATGGTGAAATGATTGTTGAAGCCATCTTGCCCCCTTCTCCGTCTAACGGTTTTAAAAGACTCTTCTTCTCCTGTTTTTAAAACGGCCTTCTCCTTTTGTTTTAAAACTGTTATAAAGCAAGTTTTGTAAAAACAAAACAAAAAAAAACACGTTCTTTTCCTCTTTATTTCAGCTGTTGGCCATGGGTCGTTTTTTCAAAACCAACAGTTAGGATTGTAACTTTAAGTAATTGTAATAATATTACAAAACTTAGTTTGCAGTGCATTATATTACTCTGTGAATGTCTGAACATTACGGTAATTTCAATTCAATTCAATTTTAATTCAGTTTATTTATATAACACCGATTCACAAACCATGTCATCTCAAGGCACTTTACAGTTCACCAGATCATACAGTCAAATTGATTCAAAGTTTTCTATCTAAGGAAAACCAGTTGATTGCATCAATTCATTGACTCAAAGGCAATCCCTTACACTAAGCATGCTTGTAGCGACAGTAGAGAGGAAAAACTCCCTTTTAACAGGAAGAAACCTCCAGCAGAACCAGGCTCAGTGTGAGCAGCCATCTGCCGATGCCAACTGGGGTTCAAGGAGACAGAAGCAGAGATGTAAAAGGCGGCCCAATCCAGGACACACACAGCCAGGCAGACAAGCTCTTAGCCAACTTCAATGTCAGAGGAGGAAAAGAGCACATCCAGCCAGTCACAGTCAGAGAAACAGGACTACACTGGAAAAACAGGACAATCTCTAACATCTATAGACAAAGGTGTTGATGGCAGCAGCATAGCTAATATTTCTCTCCAGAGTGATGTCACAGCCAAACAGGAACAGATGAGGTGAAGCTACTATGAGAAAAGGCAGAGAGAGCAGAACATTAGAGATTAAACTAATAGAGGAAGAATAGAGATAGAATGAAGCAAAATGATGAAATAGGGGTCCCTATGTCCTCCAGCAGTCTAAGCCTATAGCAGCATAACTATAAAGATATCTCAGGATAACCTGTGCCAATCTAACTATAAGCTTTATCAAAAAGGAAAGTTTTAAGCCTACACTTAAAAGCAGACAGGGTGTCGGACTAAAACTGGTAGTTGGTTCCACAGGAGAGGAGCCTGATAACTAAAAGATCTTCCTCCCATTCTATCTTTAGAAATTCTAGGAACCACTAGTAAACCTGCAGATTGAGAGCGAAGTGCTCTGTTAGGAACATAAAAACAATCATTTCTCTGATAGAAGATGGAGCTTTGCCATTTAAGGCTTTATATGCAAGAAGGAAGATTTTATAGTCTATTCTTGATGTGTAATGTGTTACTTATTAATGCGTTACTCCAAACACGGATTATTACAAATATTCACATCACTCAAGTTAATTAAAAAAAGGTCCAGTCACAATAATCAGGTTAAGACCCTATCGTAACACCATGCAAAGTATTGATCGCCTTACTAACTTCTTACCTTTGTGCTTTTCCCCCCAGACCTGAATAATTGATTTTACATGTAAATTTAACCTCCCTACAAGAAGGTGTTTTGTTTGATGACTTCATTTTTCAAACAAACAAGTCCTGATTCAATGAATAAGTTGGTAAATCATGAATGAACTGTGATTAACAGATTAAAAATATATATATATATATATATATATTTTTTTTAATTCTGTAAGATTTTGTATGATACCACTTAAAATGTAAGATAGCACTGTTTCTGTAAGATACCCCTTAAAAAGAAGCCCCCAACAGCATTGAGGAGACATGCATAAAAAGGTCAGAAATAAGAAATGATGTCAATGACTTCTACCAGGCTGGAAAGGTTTCCAGTGGCACTGAGACTCAAACCACAGTGAGACCCATTATCCAATAATGGAGAAAACATGGAACAATGCTGAACATTCCCAGGAGTGGCTAGCCTGCCAGTGTTTGTTTAAAGAGAGCACAGACAACTCATTCATCAGGTCATAGTAAAAACCAGAACATCAGAAAACCTGCAAGCTTAACATGCCACCATTAATGTCCAATTTTATGATTCAACATTCAGGAAAACAGTGGACAATAAGGCCATCCATGGAGATGGTTGAAGGTGAAAATTACTTCTGACCAATGAAAGCTCAAAGGGCCTGATATTAAGAAGTTCTGCGCTTGCTAATAAAGGTATTTCTTCATGCAGTGCCAATCTTCAGAGAAGGAGCAAAGTGATTTGTGTTACTGAATTTATTTAGTATATTTAATGTCTGTGCCTTCATTGACATGCAGATCAACATTTCATTACAAAACCAAGCAATCTCATTAGCGGAGGATATGAAAGCATAAAAATGTACCATGTGCAAAGTTTATTTTTATAGGAAATACAGTTTTAGCTGCAGTTTTTGCGACTTTTTCCACTATTTCTGAGTCAGGTGCAAACTGAAGATAAAATATCTACAATTATTGTGGCCACAAATAAAGCATTGTTACAATGCTAGAAAATAAGCATCCAAACATATTTGGACTGTCAAAAATAACAATAGTAGAATAATATTTATAAAGAAATAAAATATCCATGCAGGTTGGCACAGATTAATTCACTAGGATGGCTGATGGCAATCTTTATACAATTCAACCAAAAACAACAAAAAAAGACTGAACTTAAATATCGTTGCTTGTTTATAAAAAAGAACATGCACAAAATCAAAGGAGCCTTCAAAAACACATCGACTACTAAATGCACTATAAATTTAATTAGTATTATTATTATTTTATTGTTACCAGTGTTACTTATAATGCTATGGCTTTGAACCTCATCTTTCTTTTACGTCCTCTCAAACTACCTGTAGAAAATTAATGGGGGAATTCAAATTTCTTTACGTCTTTACATTTGAGTAGCAATCTGTCTAGATCATCCGCAACATGCTTACTTAGTGCATGCACTAAAAAAACAAACAAAAAGTCTACATGCAATTTAGCTGAATCTATTCTGAATCTTTGACACTCAGACCCAAACTGTCCTAAATGTTCCAAAACAAATCTTGATGATTCCTGAAGTTTTTGGTAAGGTATCCTATGGATTGGTTAGATAAACTTTAACACAATGTTTATCTTGTTTATATTAACCTTTTAAGATGTTAGTCAGTGTAAAAATTAGCTTTTTTTTGTTTAAAACAAACCCATTTATAGTGCTGTAAAACATCCTTACTTAATCCTGCATTGTATGAAACAGGCCAGAACACAATCATCAATGCTCATCAATGTGATTAACATAAGCAGTGCTATATAGAGTGGTTTGACTGCATAAGACGAAAAAAACACCATATCATCTGCGTACTTATAGAGGGAATTCAGAAATAGAAAAAAAAAAAATACATAACCTCTGACTCTTTAAGTGTTTAGAGCAGGTTGTTAAAATTGGAGCTGCATGTCCCTTGGCCCCAGGGTGCCACACAGTGGCAGTCCATTGGCATATATAAGGTTGCAATGACAAATAACTATTCTTATTTTTTTTTAAATCAGCTTAAAAATATTCAAATCCAGAAATGTGGACTTATTCAGAAAATAAAACGACCTGAGTCAGTGTGATGATGGTACTTTTCATCTGATAAATGAAGCTCATTCTAACTGAGATGAGATGCACCTTTACATAGTGGCCAGCACAAATTGAAGTAATCCGAAATGTTTGCACTCGTGCACTCATTTGATTTGCAAAATGGTCAAATCTTCCCCCGTACAATATGATAAACAATTGTATAAGATGAAAGTCTTTAGAGTCAATTTTACTGTTTTTTAGTGGAAACTTCACATGTGCTTCCCTCTTGAGAGCAGAGCAGGCCCAGGGCATAAGCGACCAAAGCTGGAAGCCTTCCACAAAACTGAAATTTAATAAAGACCTAAGATCTAACATGTTTATCTTTGTTTATATAGAAGCAGGATGACATTAAATTCAGCAGAGGCAAAATAAAACATTTTAAGGTGGGACAATTTGGATTTGTCAAATTTTCTTTGCAAAAGTGCATACAATATTCCTCACAAGTAAAATGATTTTGTTGCAATGGTTACAATTTTTGACCTTGGGCCAGCCCGTTTGGGTGGGAAAAAGCATGACGTTCACTGAGCTTTCGTATTCTTTTTACATTAATCTATAACCAAAAGAATTAACACCAATCAGGGAATGAAGTATACATTTCTTTAAGCTTGACCTTAAGCTTGACTTGCATTTTCAGATTTAGAACCTCAGATAATTTAAAAGGAAAATAGGGGGTGATTGCATAAATAAAGATCTCACCCAGAGTTTCTAAAATTGCTAAGAAAACAATAAATACTAGGTGATTTGGTTAGACACAATAATACAATTGTGGCCTGATTGTTTTATAGTTAGTGCACAATCATATAGGTTCTGGGGGGAAAAAAAGCTAAAACATAAAAAAAATGTTTGCAAACTAAACAGCAGCCTTTACTTACTGGAAAAGCGTAAAGCATTGCATTAATTTAGGTAAAACAAGATTATCTTGAACC